AAAGAGGGGGAAGAGAGAGAGAGAGAGAGAGAGAGTATGAGAGAGAGAGATGGCGATATGTCTATATATATATTCCTTTTGTTCACAGAAGAATTTAATTAATTTATTTATACCATAGGAGAGAGACCAAGGTAAAAGAAAAAAAAAGAGTAATGCAAATTACAAATGTGGGCCTCTCAATTTATGTGCATTTATTTATATAACTGATATTAACCAACAACAACTTCAATACCACAACCCATGATTTATTTATTTTTGGATTTCAAGAAGAAGAAGGTGGATAATTTATATTCGGCATTAACGAACGGGGTAATTATTCTCTGAAAAATATGTTTTTAATTTATACGACAAAAAATCCAAAACGTAATCTTTTTTTTTTCTTTTTTATTTGTGATTTTGGATAAGTAAAATCTGGTGGGATTACATCATCCAATTCTTCTCTCTTGTTAGTTATTCGAGATGATTTCATTATATTACATAACTTGCCCTTTAACTTCTCAAATAACCAACTTTTTTTTTTCTTGGAGTTTTCTTTTTTGGGGATGTTCTCACATAACTTACTTGGCCCTCGAGGAATCCTTTAATTCTGATTTCCATGGCTTTAGTGGTTAGAGAGTGAAAAAAAGAAGGTATTTTTTATTCGAGTCTTTGTTGAAGTGGAGCATGATTGAAATTTCATAAGCAAAATAGTTAGATTTTAAAAGTTAGAGAGGAAAACTAAATTCAAATTTACGGGATCAAATTTCAAAATAATACTTTTATTTAGTTTAAATGTACATGAGATGAGATTAGAATTTGAACCCTATTTTTATCTAGATTTATTTTATCTATTATAAAAATCAATAAATTAAATTATCGATTTGATAACAGTTTGTTTATAAGTCAATGTAAGTTTATTTACTAACTTTTTCTTATATACTATTTTTCGGTATTTTTTAAGAATATTTTTCAAAATCCTAACCATCCAAATGTTTATTTATTCAAATTCAGCTCATATTTCAAGAATATTGTGAGACAAAGTAAGTATTTAAGGATATTCCACTACCTTTCTAACTCGCAAATAAAATATCAGGTCAAATTTATAAAGCTAAGCTAGAAATAATTACCATTAATAATCCATACCAACAGTTTCAAATTCATGATCCAATCATAATCTACAATGAAAGAAAAAAAAAACCATATATTTATATTTTAAAGAAATCACTTTTTTTAGGCAATATATATATATATATAAAAGCCCTCCAATTCCATTTTGCCTCCAAAATAGGTAACATGGAAACAAGGCAAAAGTTTGTTTTAATTAATTAATTTTTTATTTTTGAGGAGGAAAATATCAAATATATTTTATGATGGTCTCCCCGTACGTTGACCCTATTTAATTAATTACCTTTTAATTTCTCATCTTAGTGTATATATTTATATTTATTATTGGTGATTGACATGGTACGTTAAATTTGATGGAAAAAAAATCCGTACCAAAAGGCAAACACATCAATTATACCTCTACTTTTTAATGTACAATTCATTCAATTACGTAATTGTTCATAAAAGCTGTCGTTATTTTATTTATTCCTCTTTTAAATTTTACAATAATGTTTTAGAAAATAAAAGCTATTTATATAAAAATAGAAGCTAGTTGCAGGCCAAATTTTTTGAAAATATCAATACGGCGAGTTTCGTTTGAAATGAAATAAAGGCCATTTATTTTGATGACTTGGAAGAAACAAAGCCACCCTTAGTCGGGACAATGTAGGTGGTTTTATTAACTCTCTCTCAATTTTCAAAAAAAAAAAAAAAGAACTTTATTATTATTTTTTTGACACAAAAAAAAAACTTTATTCTCTACAGATGTCCATTTTTTTTCTCTCTCTAGCAAGTGTGACATAATTAATTACAACCCCATCCCCCATCATGAATAAGAAATTAAATAGGCTATGATTACAAGTACATCGTTGTGTATATATAGTCATAGGTTAAACATTACATATGAGACTTTGGATTGCCTATTTATATATACTTGAATTCAAATTTCAACATTACAAAATCATGCAAGTTTTGAATTGGGGTCTTTTTTTTGTTTGGTTTCTTTTTAAAGATTAAAACTATATTATATTATATATATATATAACTTTATTGGTAGAGAAGTGAGAATTAAGTATTTGTGTGATTGGATGATTAGTGTTTGGATTTGAATAAATTATTCTTGGTTAGCTAAATTAGTTTAGGAATGTAAAATTGGGTCTATTATAAAACTAAACTATTAAAAATATATCCAAATGGTATTTTTGCTGGTTTTTTATTTGAATAAGCTCATGACAAGGTAGCTAACCTTTGGCTTGTGGTTTTTGTATATTAATATGAACTACAAATTCCTTCTCAAGTTTATTGTGATATTTGGCTACACTATCAAGATTGTTTCGAAAATTACAGTAACATTTAGGATGTATTTGATCACTATCCSATGGTAAATTAAAAATTAATTTTAAGAAAATCAATTACATTTAAATTTTTTGTTGTTCGATACCATTCAACCCATCATTACTTTCAATATCTAGTCGGAGAAAGACTCTTTATTTTCGAGTCTTGCAACAAAACCCCGAATTCGCGAGTCAAAATCTCTTTAGTTACGGTTTCCTAAAAATAACCGTGTGTGGAATATTCCACCATTTTGATCCACGAGTTTAATTTCAGTGTGAAGATGTTCAGTAAACTAAATCCAAAACTGGATCAGAACAAAAAAGCCGAAGACTTTTTCGCCAAACGAACCACTTTCTTCAACGATTCTAAAATCCTGCCGAGAGAATTGGCAACGGAAGAATTAGGGCTTTCCGGGCCGGGGGTTTGGGGGGCCTGGATCCGGTGCGGAGGGGCGTACCGTTGTAACGGTGGTCAGGCCACGTGTCTAATGGGAATTTTTGCAGAGAGGCCATAATATTCCAACAGTAATCGTACAGATAATTCATTAAAAAGGTTAGGGGTAGTTGAGGGAGAAGTGAAGGAATGAGTGGCACTTCTCTCATCCGTAGTCCTATCTTAGTAATGAATAGTCATTTTCCTCTTTTATTTTTCTTTTCTTTCCAATTTTCCAAGAATTTTCTCTTTTCCCTTTGATTCTTATCCAATTACAGACACATTATATAATGTCATAAACATAAAATAAATAAATAAAATCGAATATTTATTATAAATTTTGTTTGTACGTATGCTCAAAATCACTGATGTGATTTAGGAGGTTGAAATTTATGAATTAATGTATTATGTTGAAATTTCAAGGATCAAAAGATACTTAATTCAATCTCGTGTTTGGAGTTTGGAGTTGGGAGCTTGAGCTTCTGAAGTATTTGTTCGAATGGTGAAAAGAAATATATAGAAATTTGTTTTTTTTTTTTGTCGTTTATGAATTTATAAATCGTAAAAGTTAGTTGGTTTGTAAAATGTAGCTCTATAGAAACTCGTGCCTAAACTAATGTCTATTGCCTAAATGTCATGTGCTGCCCTCCATGCACCGATGCTTCTAGACTGCTTCTCATAATTTTGATATTTTGTCATTATT